TGAGAAGACAAAGTTATTTAAGTTATATTCAACGAAAGGAGACCGCAACCATACTAAGAGTCTCCTTTCCTTCGCATATTACAATTGCATTTTCAATGTTTCTCATTCTTAAAATTCTCGCTCCTAACATTAGGGGTTTTTCATATTAAATTTTCTGCTTGTTTATTTCCGTGGCTTTTTAAACCAACTATTTTTGATCATTGGTAAATTTCACTTATATTCCCACTAGCCGTTTGTAAATGCTTGCTGATAATAAATTTACTAGGACTTTTTCATGACGTTAGAGCACCTTTGTCGATTTTGGTGACATTTATTTATAACCATTTATTCAACAGGTTTTAATTTTTGGATGCTTTTTTATTATTTGATCATATTGAACTCAAATTATAACCTTATCTGCTTATTTACCATATTAAAATATACAGGCTATAAATGAGCTCGGCTGTTACATAGGAAAAATCTGTCATAGCATGTTATATGTTACAGTCAGTTGATTAGATCTGAGAGCATTGTAAGAGTGCCATGACTACGATGTTGATGACCCTGGATCGTGATATGTGATATTTCGGTTATTTCCAGTTCGAAATATCCTTTTAGTCATCAGTAATCTTTACTGATTTGAGTCCCAATTACGAATAAGAAGGCATCTTCAGAGAATTGCTTTAACAATCGTAATCCCAATTTTAAGATAGTTCAAAATTGTTTAGTCTTACCGCATGATCTCCGTCTATAAATTTCCTAACGGTTCTTCGCCACACATTCCAACTAGATGAAACTTTTCTCTAGGGTCCCATTTTTCCTCCGTAGCGCTCTTTTTATTATTTTTTTGGGAAACAGTGATTTATCGTTGTCTCTAATTCATATTTTGAGTAATAAGTCACTTGAAACCAAGTATAGTATTTTCAAAGGTTTGAAATCAACCATAAATCTGCCTTTTTATTAAAGTAATTGCAATGAGTTACTTTTGGAATCTTCGGAGTTACGTAGTGCTTTTAAATCATATTTACTGGATAATTATTAATCAGTGATGTTTAAAGTTCTAAATAGCTATATTTATTCTCATTCTCTTTTCTGTCCTGTCTAAATTTTTTAGACTCCTTTACAGCCTTTAGTACACTAATGCGCGGTCTCCAGATGTTTCTTGTCTTCATGCATAAAATTCCTACAAGAGTATTCCATACATTAATCTGCTGGCAGCATACGCTTTTGCTTTCCCTGATTTCTTTTTACAAGGCATAGCTTTCACTGACTTGTATTCATGCAACAAATATAATCCATATACCGCATATTTGCACAGGAATCCTCCCAATACTTTTAGCATACTTATTCAAAATGTAAAACTGTTATATCATTCATTTCTATCTTTCTACGTACTTTGTGATCACCTTTCATAGGCTCAATTTCTATTTTTTCTTAAAAAAATAATGTCTCACCGGGCATATTAAGTGAGGGCTAGAGCATTCAAATTAGGTTAGGTGATTTATAACCAAAATTCTCTACCAGGCGAATGCACAGGATACTCGTATAACGTGGTTTAGTTTCACCAGCCATCTTTCCCGGGACTCGAGGATAAGGTTTAAGACATTCTGATTAAGTCGTTCCGCTGATAGAATGTAGAGCAAATGCTCGACCTCAGATTGGCGATGGTATTGCTCAAATTAAAATAATTAATTGCCATAGAGTTCTGCGAAAAACCTTTAGCTGGCGATTGATTTGGGCTTGGCGCGCAATACTCTTGGGGTATTATCAGGCTGACAATCAGCTACCTTTTCTAGTTCATGATCGATTTACATTCTACTGTTATATTTGGGTATTCAATTCTTTAAGTTATATCTCAACTATTATCTTTCATGTCTCAATATTGGAGTAAGTTACATTTGAAATGACAATTATTATGAGCTAATTACCTTTCCTATGTGGCTCAAAAGGCTACTTTTGACTTGGCCACGGTAGTGTAGCATATGACATAAGTATCTAAAGATAAGTAGTTTCCTAGTGATTAAAACTTCGTAGAAAATAAATCTCGAATAATTGAGATCCCTTATATTTTTTATTGGAAAGCCATTTCGACTTTACGATCCTAGAGGACTTTGGTGCTTCACGATTCATTACCGAATACTTTGCTCCGCCTCATCCTTTAGGTTTACATATGGATACGTGATCCTACGAATTTAGAATGATATTTTTTGTTCCAATTTTCTAGAGGGGGGTTCTTGCTCTATATAAAACATTCATTAGTAACATAACTTTTGATGTATTGGATACATTTAAGTGACCAGAATACGAATATCACTTCTCATTTAAAGCATGATTTCTAAATAGTTGTTTGATTCAGGGCCAACTCATTTTTTCCATTTTTATCTTCAGCTATGGGGCAGGTACAATATCAACATTATATCAGAATATCCGCAATCAGAAATGCTGATCTATCTTATTTTGAGAATAACCTTTACAAAAGCTCAGATGGACTCTATTTGCTTGTTACTTGGTGAAGTGTTGCGAGCAATCGACTACCTTTGGAGAAAAAAGATGCAGAATACCAATAGCCTCCTCACTACTAGTCTTTCTTACTTCATCGAAGCCAAAAAAGACAACATTTTTCACAGGCTACCAACCTGTTATGGTTTCTGATGTACGCTGAATACAGATTCCTTGCAGATTAATTCACAGATAATGTTTTAATAATGCCGGTTTGTTAATCTCTACTGTATGCAGAACACAACGGAATTGTGGCCTTATAAGGCGGTGCATTGGTTCCTTTTCGAAAATATGCTGTCTACGTCAGAATTTGACAAACTGGACATCCGTCTCCTCGTTTGGGAACGAAATCCAATGACCTACTCCTTTCGCTTCTTTTAATTATTTAGAGGTTTTCCATATTTGTTTTCTTTCCAAACCCTTAGGCCATTTGGTCATGGCTTCAACTTGATGATCTCGGTCAGCTCGCTTGAGTTAAACTAGGCTACAAAGATTTGTGTACAACCTAATCTTTTCATGACCATTTACTTCTTCACGACTCGTCTTCTTTGATACTATCACGGTATTAATTGTCGAGCAGTCTTTTTATGCATCTTTTTGTACACCCTTATATCTTACTTAATAAAGCCATATTTTTTTGTTTCTTGCTCGCTTTGCTTCATCCTCACATAATAAAATTAAAATACTTTGTAAAAATATTACTTCTTCTGGATAAGTTCTAATATTTGTCTGCTGAATTTTTCATATTAGTTTCACTCATTTTTCAAGAATCGATATTAGTTTTTTTTATCTGTATTTAAACACTATTTATTGAATATTGTTACACTCTTCCTGTATTTTCTTAATCTTATTTTATTCTGCCTAATTAAGTCTATCTCTGGTCCACATCTTTTCCAAGACACTCATAAAAGTTGCTCGAATTAATCACTAATTTTAATTTATCCGTTAAGAATAGGTTTTTTTCCCCGTCGGCATTAATCTTTTTCTTATTTTATGTACATTATTTCGATATTGCTCTGAATCTATTTGGGTTTTATTTCTGCCTCGTTTTCCTTCTTTCAACTACTTACATTTATAGCGGCATCTATCTATGAAATTGAACAAAATTGTGTTGAGTTTCAGCATCCTCAATTGTTTCATGTTTAGTGCCATTTCTATTCGTATTAGTACTGGTAGATTTTGATGGTTTTCAATGCATATTTTGATAGACGCAACTATGATTTTTCTATTTATATATTTTGTCTCTGATTTAATTTCCTATTTCGGCGGCACTCACTATATTGTTTACTGTAGAGTTACTCTCTCTAATTTCTGGGAAGAATTCAATTCAGCTATTTCACTAAATATAATTATTCTTCGGATTAGTGTGCGTATTGGTTCTTATTACCCGATATAAATTCATTGAAACGGCTTTTTTTGCGTTTAAAAAAAATATTCCTTATTTGCTTGATTGAAATTGTTATCTTATGGTGCAGTTGTTTTTTTATAATTTATACGTTATCGTTAAGTGACAGACCACTTTTTCCATCTTATCCTATTATTTTTTTTATCTTTCAGTGCCTTGATCCTTTGGTTTCTAGCAGTTGTTCCTCTTCATCTGACACTTCTCACAACTTGAGGCTGAATTCTCAAATACCAATTTCTGTTTTATCAAACACTGGCTCTCCGCCCAGTTTGGATCATTCTGAGAGGCAGCAGCCATTTTTACCCTCTGAAGAGTCAGGTGACGATCTCAGTAGCCCTACTATATCTTTGGACGTTGACGCAAAAGAACGCAAACGTCTGTTTAAGACGGCTCGTGAGCGTGACTTATTAAAGGAAGCAGAAGAAAACGAGGCTGCCAGACAAGAGCTCGTCGCGGACGACTCAGAAGGCTTTCAAGACGCCAGCTCTGACTCTGGCTCTAGTGGTGTCAAGAAAAAATATAGTCCTTTTACCTCTCCCAAACTCGATAAGGCTGGCCCTTTCTCAGAAGCCCGTATCGAGCGGAGGTTTCGAGCCGATTTACCTACCACACGGCGATCCAAGCATCTAGGATTGTCATCTGACCTATTTATTGCTTTACCTAGATCGGATGACGATCTAATCGGCACCAACTCAGATTTAAGCAATCCAGATAACCTCGAGGCGAGTGTGAAAGCTATGAAGAAGCAAATTACCAATAGGCCTAAAAGGTGAGTTATTTTTTTGGTAATGTTGGAATTTATCAACAAAATACATCAATACTTTTATAAATTATTTGAAAAATCTAGGTTATTTTTTCTTTATATAATTAGACATTCAATAAATCGTCCTATATGAAAATGATTTTCATATTAACATAGTTTTTCATTTTCTTATCATTGGTGTCATTGGCCGTAAAATTGTAAATTATCCCATTTTTGTTGCCTACAATTGTTCATACTGCAATCTTTGGCAATTCTAATTGGATCTTCAATGTTTACTAAAGGTTATGTCCTCTTAGAAGGTATGAAGACCAAGATTGTGTGGTCGCAGTCTCCTTTCGTTATATTGAAGTTGTTTGACCTAGTTTTAGCAAATTGTTCATATCGGTAGGAAGACCTAGAAGAACGCATCTAGTCAGGAGTCTATAGTATGCAGGATAATTTCCAGAGTCGGACCGTGGACGTGGTATATTCCCAGACGTCTCGCCGGCATCGTCAGTGAGCATCCGCCAGTCTTAGCACCACACTACAACTCGTCAAAGAGACAAATGAAGTCGATCATTTGACAAATTGTCTGCTAAACAATTGTGGTATCTTTCCTTCCGCCCTGGGCTAATCACCAGTCCTATATACTCGTATCACGTCTTCACTATCACCATTTTTACTTGCTTATTTAAATGTTGTATGGTGTGCCCATTTGAGTGGCTTTCATGATAACTTTCCACACTCCACACTGGCTTTCTCGCCCCCCTTCACTCTTGTTCTGGGAATGTTGATCACAGTCTGCCCTATTGCTACGCCGTCCTTCCATATGTCTTATTAGAGTCTCCCTCTTGCCCCGTATGATTCGTCTGCTATCTCCCTGATTCAAGTATTTCAGTCTACCCCTGCCACCCCATCTGTGCTACTCGAGGCTTTAGTTACCACGTTGCATCTGAGAGACTAACTTGAGGCTAAAGTCCCCGAGTAATTCTCATGGTCAAGCCTTTGCTTTATGGACCACGTCTATGGTAAACAGGTCTACTCTCAGTCAAATAGCTCTAGTCTTCATCATGTCTATCCTGTTTTTACCCTTAATGCCAAGTCTATCACTTCCTACGCCCTAGTATCTTCTGTGCCAACCCACAAATATATTGGTTCAAAGCAAGCAGTGCTACAATATTTGTGGGCTGGCACACAAGAGGCTAGGGCATAGGAAGTTATAGGCTTGTTATTATGGCTATAAAAAAGATAGACGCGGCGGAGACTATTGTTAGTTAGCTGATAGTAGGCTTGTTTTACCATTGACGTGGTCCATGAAGCAAAGGCTTTTCCATAAGAATTACTCGTGAGTTTTGACCTCAAGTTAGTCTATAAGAGGCAGTGTGGGAAAAAAAGCCTCGAGTAGCAGAGATGGAGTGGATGGGGTCGAGTAAAATACATGAACCAAGTAGATAGCAGACGGATTTAACGGGGCAAGAGAGACTGATAAGGCCTATGGAGGGAGGGCTGCTTAACAATATGGCAGACTGATCAACATTCTTAATACAAGAACCAAAGGTGGTGATGGGTTAGGAAGCCAGCGTGGAGTGTGGAGAGTTTTCATGTAATCGTATCAAAAGGGCACACTATACCACATTTAAATAAACAAGTAAAAATGGCGATAATGAAAGCGTGTTACGAGGATATAAGAATGGTGATTAGCCCAGAGCAGAAAGAGAGATACCACGATTGTTTAGCAGACAATTGGCCAAATGATCGGCTTCACTTGTCTCTTTGACGCGTTGTAGTGTGGTACTAAAACTGGTGGATGTACCACGTCCACGGTCAGACTCTGGAAATTATCATGTATACTATTGACTCCGGACTAGGTGCGTTCCTCTGGGTCTTCCTATCAATATGACCAATTTGCGAAAACAAGGTCAAACAACTTCTTTCTGATAAAGCTATAAGAGATACTTCCCAATAGTCTTTTTAAAGCAAATATTTTATTTTTAGCGCTTATCTAGCTTCAAACTTATTTGAGTCTTCTTTCTATTTACTTATTTAGGCTACGGTTTTACTAATAATCTTTCAAATAATATTTATTATGTAATTTCTTAAGATTCATGGCTGAGCTTGATGAAAACGCTGATCAGGAAGTTTCTTTACAAAGGAGAAGTTCACGGCAACGTCTAAAAATCCGGCCTAAAGTCAACTATTTTTCTGACTTATTTGCTGATGAAGGCTCTTTGGATAGTGAAAGTGATAGCACTGATTTCAATGGCAATGCGCGGAGCAGAAAGATCCGCGCAAAAAAACATTCCCTAAATAATCTATCTAAAAGCAGTTCTACGGAAGGTGAAATCGGTGAAGGAGAGGATGACGACTCTATTAAACTTTCGCGTAGACGTCGCCGCTCTAAACCTTCAAAGACAATGTCTAAAGATATCGATAATGAGCATAATGACGTTGATGATAATACCGAGAGAAAGGGAAAGAAAGTGGACGAGGATTCGACTACAGCCAACTTTCCTAAGCGGCGAATTCGCAGACGGGTTAAACGTAACAGGTCATCTGATGAAGACAATGCTAATGACGCTGATGAAGATGTAGATAACAAATGTAAGAGCAAGGTTAAGAAGAGTAGAATTTTAAAGAAGCAAGAGGATACTTCTGATCACGAAGGGGAAGCGTTCGAAAATTCAGATGATGGTGAGAAGGGTAGGCGCCAGATTCGAAGAATCATAAAGAATAAAAGTCTTTCAGAAACTACGAAGACTGCTGAAGCTGAGGAAAGAGAGAGAAAACGCAGGATAGAAGAGCGTCAAAAAATGGTATGCATTCCAATTATTTTCTCATATCCTTGTTTTCTCCTTAAGCTTTGAGTTTTCATCTTATCATTGTTTTTTACTTGATTTTATCTCGCCGATGGTTGTTTTTTTGCTTAACACAGTCAGGACCATCTCACCCTTATAACTGAGGTCCTGGTATAATTTTTCAATATGTTAACAATCCCTAGGTGAGTAATTGCATTTTTTCAGTATTTGTAGGCAGGCTATGGATATGTTCCTCGATATCACTCCACGAACTATTTAATCTTTGTGTTAATGAATTACAGAAATTTTTTAAAGATGAGGTCAATTTTCATCTTAATGTCAACAATTTGGTTATATCATAAAGGCGATTTTTTTCCTTAGCAACCAGAAACGTGTTTTTAATCAAATACATTTTATTTAGAGTAGATACCCATTTTTACAAACAATGATTTGAACTAATCTCACTAATGGTTGAGGCGTACGAGTAAGACAGATGTTAATAAGGGCTTAACTGGGTCTTATTCCAAGATTTGTAGCAGGTTTGATGTGTGTATTTATTATGTTCTTCATTTTTCTTGGCATATGAATACTTTTTATTGGCCATTTGCTTGTAGATTAAAAATTTTAAGTTACTAAGTTACCTTGATTGGTAGTAACAAATATCACAACTTGTGTGGTTATAACGAGAACCATTTTTTTCGCATGGCTTGGCAGGCATTAAAAGTGAATGGAAAATTTAAATCCTTTGCTCCACGTATTACACAAGTTCATTTTTCTGTTTTTGCTTCACTTTTGTCCCCTCTTAGTTCCCATCAGCACTTCCAGGGGAATTCAAACAAGATATGCAAGTTCTAATGAGGCTTGCTACTTTCAGGAGTTTTGGCTTTAAATCTATTGAGATACGAGACATTTATTAATTACAACTCAAATACCACAGCTCTAGTATGGACTATTGTAGCGATGTACATTTGTCTGCTAGTACATAGTATATATACCTTAACCAAGCTATTTGTTAATCTTTTTTTTTTCATTTATCAAGGATAGATTGCCTCTAAAACCGCGTCCCTCCCTTTGCTATTTTAGCAGTTTGATCAGATCTATGCAAGGCACAAAATGAAGGAAACTGTATGAATTTTTTTATTACCCTGTCTTTTTGAACTAAAACACTTAGGGGGACTTTCATTCTGTATGCAAATGAATGAAGAATAGATTTGTTGGTTGATCTCACCAGATGAGGACGGATAAATCTCGTTATACTGCAGCCGTTTGGCTTTTATACGATA